AAAAAAAAAGAATCATCAGTACAAAAAACAGCTATAAAAGCAAAAATGCAAATAACCCAAATAAAAATGCCCAAGAACTTGCTAGACATTTCTCTGCAGAAGTCGCAATGATCAAGTATGTGAAAAGTTTTAATTATTATTCATTATTACAGAAATATCACTAACACAATAAAAAATAGTTTTACAGCTGTTAGAATGTCTGCTACAATAAAGAAGTCCCACGTAGTACAGCTATTCCCCTTCTGGGTATTTTTCCAGAAGAACCGAAAACGTCATCCCACAACAATATATGTGCACCCATGTTTATAACAACACAGTTTGTAATAGCTACATCTTGGAAACAATCTAAATGTCCATCAACTAATGAATATATGTGGTTTATTTATACAGTAGACTATTGCTCAGCTATAAAGAAAGATTGATGCAAGTTCCTTACAGGAAAAATTGATGCAACTAGTGACCATACTTACAAGTGAAATCAAGTCAGAACCACATGTTTAAACATCGTATTATCTCCCTAGTATAAGGACCTGAAAGAGTAAATAAAATCTGAAAGGCACAATTGATACAGTAGAAGGAAAAGAAACTGAGCGAAAGAAGTAAACAACTGGGATGAGGGAAAGGAGAAAAAGGAAGAAAGGAAGGGCAAAGATCATGTATTGTATACAGAGGATCACTAAGATGATTACACTACTAATGTCTACAGGTATTTAGAAGGTAACAGTTAATGCTAAAAATTTTTACTGTGAATGAATAATTTCATGTGTTTATATCTGGTAATCTGAGCAACTACCTGGAAGACAACAATGTGTAATATAACAACCACTGTTGAATATCTATCATCTTGGGGGTTTTGTGAAATTGTGTATCATTTCTAATGTCTTATCTATTCTTTTTGTATTCTCTTTAAAATAAAAAAGGTTTTGAAAAGCAAAACTAATGAGTATTGACAAGTATGTGGGTGAGGACGTTTTGTATACAGACATTTAAGCTACTAAAAATGCATGTTTCTCCAAATGAAAAATACAAATACTGCATAATGCAGCAATCCCTCTTCTATGCATATATCCAAAGGAAATAAAATCATCATATCAAAGAGAATCCTGCACTGCAGTGTCCATTGCTACATTATATGTGGTAGACAAGATATGCAATCAATCTATGTGCCCATGTATGGATGAATA